TCTTTTCAGACATCTACGTTTGTATGATCTCTTTTGCTCACAATGTGGCTGCGGGGGGTAAATACATCGCAATCGCGAGCACCACCGTGGAGACCAGCTTCCCTGAAAATGAAATCAAGCCGGCCCTGGATCTTCTGGAGCCCATCGAGCAGAAGTTCGTCAGCATCAGTGACCTGTATGAGCCCACCGACCTGGGCACTGAGAGCCAGGTAGGAACGCTTCGCTTTCACCAAAGTGATCAGCCATGTTTATGAGAGACACACAGGGAAAGGTCTGCATCTTTGGGTTCAGTGCTTTTCCTCACCAGCCTGGCTGCAGGCGCAGCGGCGGCTGCTGCAGGCGCAGCGGCTGCAGGCGCAGCGGCGGCTGCTGCAGCAGAAGCAGCTAGTTTACATTCTAAGTCTATAATTGCTGCTGGAAGCAGATTCTAACTCCCTCTTCACCTAAATCCATTAGAAGAGTTAAAGGAGTTTTTACTGTGTTTTAGGCTCTGAAATAGTCTTTAATGATCTACAATATTAGATGCAGCCATGGAGCCACTCAGTACTTTATCTACAGTTTTAAAATGTGCTACTTTTTCATCCATGCAGTTTACCATAAAACCTAGAATGGCTGATTTATTTCAGAACCCCCCCCCCCCACCTCTACCTCTACATTTGCTAAATTTGATTAAAAATGTTCATTTTAATAAGAGGCGATGAGGAAACTCAATTTCTCTGCTCATAAATAAAAGCTAAACTGAAGAAGCTGCTTCAGGGTTTCCATCCCAGCGTTTCTGATCCTTCAAATAAAGTTTTTTACAATAAGCTTCACCCTCTAGTTTCCATTTGTTTTTAACAGCACATCAATGAAGAATAATTAGTCAGAATCATGTTTTTCAACTACAATTAAAAACATTAAAAAGAAAGTCAAGCATTTCTTTCTTTTTTTTTTTTAATTAAAGAAAAAATCCTTGGTCTGTGATTTTATTTTCAAGGCTGGTCTGTTAGTTCATTGTTTGGTCCGTCTCCTCAAGAGGAGATGATGATGATGATGATGATGATGATGATGATGATGATGATGATGATGATGATGAACCCAGTCAGGTCTGAGAACCTGAAGCAGAACATGTTGAAATGTTGATATTAAAGTCCTAAATCATCTAGCTTGTTTAATTCAGTCTAACAGCAGAATTAAATATAAACCTGTTTTATTTTTTTCTGTGTTCCTCTTAGATCTTCATCTCCCGCTCATATGATGCCACAACTCACTTTGAGACCACCTGCGACGACATCAAGGACATCTACAAGCGAATGACTGGTTCAGACTTTGACTTTGCTGAAATGGAGCGCAGGAAGCAGGACATCTTCGGCGACGCTGCAGAGTAGACGCCACACATCCACAGTCCTCCACATTATGAAAGACGGCTCTGATTGGATTCTTTAAAATGACAAAAAACCCAAATAGATAAACTACAGAAACCAGTAGCCCTGGGTGGGTGAGGGTCAGCCCAGTTTATGATCCTTAGAAAGATGAAAGGTTCAGAAAGGGAGCTTCGCTTTTTCACTTCTCATTCAGGTGGATGTTGCACTAAATACAGTTTATGTCTATTAATACTTTTCTCTTCTGAGTCATCATGTTTAGATAAAGCATTATCCAAAGACCCCAAATACTAAAATAAAAATCATCAGTATCTTTAAAAAGTTTCTATCTTGTGGGTTTAGGGTGGGTGGGGTCCAAGACTGATCCGTGGTTCAGGTTCTACCAAACTGTAAAATATCTGCATGTTGTTCCTGCAGGTCTGTTAGTTTTCCATGTTTGCCTGAAAGACGGCTAGCTTTGGCTTCGTCCTTTTCTTCCCTTCAGGCTCATTTCTAAACTAAAACCCCCCAGCAGCAGCAGCAGGCGGCCCCCCCGGGTTCCCATCCTTTACCCCGGGGGCCGCGGCCCCAGGGTTCCCATCCTTTACTCTTGGGGCCGCGGCCCCAGGGTACCCATCCTTTACTCTTGGGGCCGCGGCCCCCCCGGGTTCCCATCCATTACTCCTGGGGCCGCCTGGATTCAAGGGAAATCCTCGTGAAACTCACCAGCCGGGTTTTCTGTTGTCACGGCGCGATGCTAACGTTAATCGACGGTAAACATGGTTCGCTGTAATTAAGGACCAAATGTAAACTGCTGCAGTGTTGAACTGCTGCTCTGTTGGAACAACTAGAAGAAAAAACTGTTGGGCTCAAATGATTTCTGTACTGCAAAGTAAAATAAAAAAAATGATTCTTGTATTTGTTCATTTTTTAATGAATTACCTGTAAAAGTTTCCATGAAATCATTATAGTCGGATTAACCTCTAAAGTATCACTGCTGTTTCCTTAAAGGTTGGATTAAGTCTGACTGCATGAGATTAATCTAACGGTTAATTTATAAATCAATAATCTGAAAGCCAAAGGTTCCATAAAGAAGATAGTTAAAACGCTTGAAACTAAAACTTTTCCACTTGTTTTCTGGATAGAGCAGATTGACAGGAGAAAAAGTTTTTTTTATCTTAAATCCAAAGTTTATTTTTTCACAGTATTGATATTCCTGTTTTGGTCGCTCTGTCAGTTAAAGGCACATTTTAGAGTCTCTAAACTCGACTTAACGATTCCTGAATTAGTTGATTTCAATAACCTGTTTCACCCATAATGGGACCAAATATCGTCATGGAGATTATACTTTAAAAGAAATTTATTCATAAGGTTCAAACTGCTGAAAGAAGACATTTGAGCAGGAGAAAAAAAAAACAGCTGAATTGAAACTCAAACATGATCCAAAATTAAAGACTGCAGCAGAAATTTACACACAAAAAAAACGTTACAAATGAGGTCTTTTTCTTTGAGTTTCCAATAGAGGTGGAAAAAAAAGGAATTGGCAAAAAACAAACCAAGTAGTCGTTTCCTACAGGATCCTTTTTAAGAAGCAGGTTTAACGAACTCTAAATTGATCTAGTCTAAAGTTCTCAGTTTAAAACGGCTGCTATCAGTTCAATCAACTCTAAATAGGGTAAACTAGCCCAAGCGGCTAAAATCATCTTTCCCTTCAGTGGTCTAGCCTCGATCAATGCCTCAGGCCCTAGAACTGGCCGGCCAATCACAGCGCAGAGATGTAGTTTGAATTTTTGGATGCAAAGTGGGCGGGGTTTTTAGGGCAGGACGACAAAGCTGCACGACACTGGAGGAAAACAAGGAAGACGGTAACGACTATTGACCAGTTCTGGTTTGACTCAGCTTTGGAATCAGTTCTGGAAGGATCAGACTTTGGGTTTTCATTGAAACGTGAGCAGGAAGAGGCTCTACGCTCATTCTATAGAAGGACGTATTCGCCGTTTAACGACAGGCTGTTTGTTTCCACCCCACCACCAGCTTCCTGTTACAGTCAGCTCCTCATTGGTCAGAGCGTTGGCCAATAGGCACAGACATGGTTTGAAAAACATCAATGATCTTCCGATGTCTCATTCATCGGGGCCAGACTAGATTACACATTTAATCTCATCTTTAATCTGGTTTATCAGGCTACTAAGGAGGTCCACTCAGAGAATGTTCGATTTCAGAGGCTGGATCTTCCAAGGACCCGGCTTACCTTGACTGGACGCTCTGTTGCCTAGCAACCATGACAGCTGACACACAAAGCAGCAAAGGATGGATGCTGAGCTTCTCTCTGCTGTTCTGGGTGGTAATGATCATTTCCAATGAGCTTCAGCGGCAGTACGGGCGTCTCAGATATCACATTTATAGTCCCACCCCGCAGAGATATTAGAATCTGAGCTTAAATATCAGCCAAACCCATTTACACAGGGACAGATAAACCAAACATTACCGCCACATATCTGACTCAATAACCATTAAAACTATTTTCATTCATTTCAGACGGAATTATTCACAGACTGGATTATATTAAACTGCACTTTTTCACCACTGATTGGCACCATTTACCTTTTTCCTCTGAGCGCGGAGCAGCTGAATTACTTGGATTCTCAATGAATCATGGGATAGCCAAGGCTACGGAGGGTCCAGCGGACCCGTCCTTCACATCGGGCAAAAAGGAGGACGCTTCTAATCAGAACAGGCCTCGCCGCGATATGACGTAATCAGCTGGCGAATGTTTGGAGCCGCTGGATTTGAATTTAGCGATTGAAACAGACTCAGATCTGTTATTGAACGATAGTGATGATGTTTGTGATTGTGCCTCAAATCACTAAATCTGACTTTAATTACAGTCACTTTGTCTTAAATTATTAAAATAAAGAATCCTGGGTAATCGTCAAAGTGTTCCCTCCCTTCAGAGGTGGGTAGTAACTAGTTACATTTACTGGAGTAACTTTATTTTTAAAAAGTGCTTATAGCAGTATTTTTACAGCATTGTACTTTTTACTTTACATTGAGTAAAATATTTTAAAGTATCACTATTTTTACTTGTTTAATATTTTACTCCTTCCATTGAAGCTACACTTAGTGAAACGCTTGTGTAAATTTTTCACCATTTTTGGTTTTATTGGTTTAATGTTATTTTCCATCTGCTGACTCTGCTGAGGAATTAATGTAATTTAACCTATTTTCAATGATTTAGTAGATTTTTATAACTCAGAAAATGTTAAATCAGTTGTTATGATGACGGCTATTCAGTAGATCAATAGACTTTTTACCAAAATTTGAATAAATTATTTAAAAGCTACTTTTTACTTTCATTTGATGGAAATGTTCGTTTAACTGCTGAGCTGCTCTTTCATTGGCTGAAAACTTGAAATGTGTTTTTTTTAAACACTCTACTTGAACCTGAGCAGAAATATGATGTTCATGCTATTTTTACTTTAGTACATTTAGTTATTCCAGCAGCCTGGACGTTTCTCTCTGGATTATTGGTGTATAATAACCCAGCCTGCTGCTGGTGGACGGTTCGTATTTCACCTCTAGACTACATTTCCCACAATCCCTTGCGGCATCGCGATCCCGCCTCCTCCTCCTCCTGAGCTGTTTTTGTGCTGACTGGTTCAGCTCAGTCCGCCATGGAGGTGACAGCTGCCCGGCGCTCGTTTTTATGCGACATTGGTGAGCAGAACAGAAGCAGCTGGTTAGAGAAACCAGTAGATCTGACTGGTTCTGACTGGTTGACTTTACTGGTCTCACAGTGGAGAAATTCCAGCAGCTGAAATAATCAACAAAGAAGAAGAAGAAGCTGCATGATGGGATATATACACTATATACAGTGCAGCGTCCACATAGGAGAGCTTTTATTTATTTATTTTTATGGTGGGGTTATTGCACAGGGTGTTTGCATGGGTATTTATTTAGATATTTATAGTTATTGCACTTGGTATTAAATAGTAAATGCACATTATATATTGCATAAGTTGTTCGGGTTGCAGCAGGGATGAATGACCTGCAGTAATGCAGTGAGATCAATAAAGTCAATCACTCAATTTTTTGATCAGGACCTGTCATTTAAATCCCAGATCAAAGAGGTTTCTAGAATTTCCTTCTTTATTCTGAGGAATATTGC